TTCATGTGTATATATATGTATATCCAAATATTTATGACTGCTTTAAAAGATCTTCACACTAATAAACAATAATCAGACTTACTTTGGCTGTTCTTGGTCTGTAACTTCCTTGCAGGGACGAGTCTATGTGGATAGAGAAAACAGGCGATTTTCAGACAAGTTCAAGGACAATGCCAGCAGTCCTGTCTACCTTTTCAGCAGTCACAATCAGCAGCTAAATAATGGATAAATAGTAACTAAAAACTGAGGATATATTTTCAGTCTCAGATTAAACAAACAGCAGCAACAGTGTTACATTTTCACAAAAAAACTGAATCTGTAAATTTGGGTTAATCTGAAGCAACAGTTTCATTTGACTTCGCATTTACACGTGTTTAACAGGTTATGTGACAAGCACCTCTCATTAACAGCACATTCGGGCAAAATCTGTGCAGCCCAAAACAGGCGGTCTTCCCTATCAGAAGACTTAATTAAGGGAATGAGTTTTACCAGCAAAAAAAACGGCTAAGAGCTGGAGTATCTTAAAAGTCAGTATTCAGTTAACCTATAGAAATAATAATAATAATAATATAATAGAAAATAGCTTTCTATTTCACTCAGAAAATACATTAAACTTTTATGAGGTGGGGATCATCAGGGCTTCTTTTCCAATAATGTACACTGTACCTGTTCATGTCTCAACATACAAAACAGACGTTTTGCTGAGCATTTCGACGTTCTCCATCTCTTTTAACATCATTTTTACTGAAATGCCTCTGGACATTAATGTTTTTTCAAAAAGGAACATAATGGTCTCAAATTCTGTATATTGTTTGCTAAAATGCAATAAGTATGATTCTATGATGTATTAGTCCACCCACTTAATGTCACCAAAAACCATAACCGGTCATAATGGGAGCCCCTAAAAAACTCACGATAAATCAATTTGCATATAATAACTGTAATAAGATGTTATATTAGGTATAAGATCAGAAAGTAGCTGCTTTTTGTTCTACCAATTAAACTTGTTCTGGGTTTCAAACTCAATTTCTGGACCAAATATCTAATGAAGATGCAAAAAACATGGATGTATCATATTTTTAGGGATTCCGGGGCGTACCTGCGTGACCAGCAGTAAAGCTGACAGAGCGTCGGCGCATGTTGTCATTTAGAGCAGAAGAAGGTGTACCAATCCAAGATACGTTACTGCAACCAGAGACCTGGAACAGCGCAAAAAAGGAGCAGATTTATTGTGAGACTGTAAAACAAGCTTGCTCTGAATTAATACGCGTACACAAGTAGCCAAATTCAAACAAGTTCTGTGTAAATTAACATCAAAGTACAATAATCAGATTCCATAATCACACATTTCTCTCAGTTTATGCTACAAACAATAAAACATCCCTGCTGCAAGTAATTTCCCCCAGAAGATCACAACATGGCTTAAAGAAAACAAAGAGGATGTTTTTTTAATCAGAAAAAAAGCAAGGGCAGCCATAATAATTTGGATTATTTATAGGAATGTGTTTTTCTTTACACACGTTTGAAGCACTGAAACTCGCCTCGATAATATATTCACCATGGGGCTAAACTACTTCATTAGGTATCTATTTGTTAATTGCATCTTGACTCTCAATTAAGGGGGTTAATTATACAAAGAAGCCCCCCCCTCCAGGAAAAGCAGAGGCAGAAAAGCATGCGCCTGTCTTTAACAGAATGCCAATTGTTTTCAAGCGAGATGCTTTTGTGTGTGCAACTAAACCAAACCCAGTGTCGAATCCTATCTTCTGTTCACAGCATTTGAGTGGACTCAGAAGTCAGGATTAGATTCGATATAAACGGTGGAGCAGACATAAAATGGGGAGCACATGAAAGGAGGGGCAGCGTATCGGAGGGTTGTGCTTCTCTCGGCCATCGACTTCCGAGTTTCCACCCCAAGGCTGTGTAATCACAAAATCACCCCCTTTTATATGTAAATGTCCGACTGCAGTCATATGGCCGTGATTAATGTTTAAAAAAAATAATCCAGTTTGGGCCTAAATATAGTGTGTGTGCCGCTAAAGCACTCACAAGTCCCTAAGTGAGGATAATTGACTACGTTCCCTGCACATATAGATGAAACACTTCCATGACGTCAATATGCATTAACAGCTCGAGTAAAAGATTAGTACTACTCTCTTGCTATGCCCTCCACTTAATCCGCTCCAATGATTGAGGCAAATTTTGGGAAGCTCCCACTGCGGTTTGAACTACATCAACGCAGGACCCTATTAATCTTATAACCCCAGTGCACTGAACACGTGTATTGTTGGTAATAAACAAACGAACACACAATGATGTTATCAGCTGCCTTGAGCTCGGGAGAATAAAGCTATTTTTACTCACCAAGAAGGGCTGCTTGCTCTCCGTTTCCTTCCTAAAGTGGTGAGGCCCGAGCTGGAGGTGGCTGAGCCTCTGCCAGGCGTCCTCAGAGAGCTGGCACATCTTGCGGTGCGCGTATGGAGACAGGGCTCGTGCTGTTGAGGAAACTGTGGGCTGCTGGTAGCCAGTGTCCACAGAAGCTCTGCTCACGCTGGCTTTCCTTTCCTGCCTGTTCTTTCTAAGAATGCAGCCAGATGGGGACGAGAGAGAAGGTCTGGATGTGGATGAAAGCACAGAGTTTGTGATTTTAGCCCCGACGTGCCGCTTTGCCTCCCCACCTTTCCCATGATCAGTTTTTGAAACGTGCCCTCTGGTCGGTGAAGGCTTTTGAGTTGAACTTTTTCTCGACGGGGTTAGAGCTGGTCTCACTGGAGAGAGAGGGCAGGTCTGGGGTGGAGGGACAGAATAAAAGAGAGAAAAATGTTGCTAAACGATAACACTCTTATCAGGAAACACTTTTAAAATGCTCTGCAGAGCAGATTGCTTCTATAAAGAAGCAACTTCCATTTATCCTTAAAGACAGTCACTCTCAATTTTGACACGGACGTTCTTTTGTTGGACTAAACCATTAAACCATTAGATAAATGATTCCACTTGAGTGTTATAACAACAACAGCTCTCACTGCCATGGAGACAACGTCGGTAGAATTACTTCAATAACTCTAATGGTCACTAACATCATTCTCCAATGCAATATCCCACTTCCTGCAGGTAATGCCAAGCAGGGATAAATAAGTTAAGATAAAATGTTAATTGCATTTGATGGCCATCTTCAGCCTAATATGATAAAGAGGCATTGCCTGGCTGTAAAACAAAGATAATCTAAATGCTAATTAGGGAAATCACACCACATTAAAACAATTTTTAAGAGAAACTAAATGATGAATAAATCATCATCAAAGCTGCCATTTGACAATAATCAGATATAATGGAATTAAAACCAGTATGCCCTCTTTTCCAAACCCCCCACCATCTATGACTTCCCCTCAGCTCTGCTATCGCTCCGTCTTCAGTAGGTGGACACTGAGAGCAGGCCATTTTTCCTGTCCCTGGAAGAGGAGTGAAGGCTTGAATAATGTGATTAGGTGAGATTTCCACCGATGCCTTTATGTGACGGGGACGCCACATAACAAAGCTTGGCATGTTGGCAAAAAACAAGACGGCTAATAGGCCCCAAGCTGGAGACTCTGTGAGGCTGCTTTGAGTTCCCGGGTTCAGCATACTGATGCTGACATGACACACACAATATGACCATGCTTGAGAAATATTAATAAAGTATTCCTCCTGACAACGACATGGATGTCTTATAGAAATTTTCACTGCAATGTGTTAAATGCATGTTAAAGTGAAACTGTTGTTTTCCAACAGCCTGAGTCTAACGGTACTTTTCTGCTGATACCTACTCACACGGCTCTGCACTAGTTTTGCATTTCCACTACAAGCTGCTCCTCTAAACAATTAAAACTTAAGTGCCTACACGGCCTGGATTCCATCGGGCTGAAAGCAAACTGCCGGATAGGCGCCATAAGGCCACTCGGATTAATCTTAGAAAAAGTCCTTTTGTTGATGTACTGCTAAGATTTGCTCTGACTGGGATCATGACCGTTATTTGGCCTGTGGCAACTGTGTCAACATAGAGCGATATTTCTGTTTGTCGTAACTTCAGACAACACCAAATATCTAAAGGAAAAGTCAGAGGATCACCTCATATTTTGGGGCACTACCTGCCAGGAATTCTACCTGTCAGAGAATTCATCTGAAAACTTCATTATCAAGACAATGTAATTGAAAATGGATTAACTGGAATTTCCATTGGTTTGAGGGGAAAAAGGCGATGAAAAAAAACAAAAAACAGCCTATACTGATGAGTGCTGTTTGAGAGGTCTGGGGAAGTCACCATCCTCCTAAAGCTCTGCTGGAATACAGCGTGGCTTGTCAGCTTGGTGGACATGCAGTCAGGGAAGCGCCTATGCTGAGGAGCCATTAGGAGAGAGAAAATGGAGAAATCCTGCAGTCTGACAGCCACAGCGCCGCTCTGATCTAGACATCCCCCCGAGGGCCCGCTGCAGAACACTGACAATCTGCTGCGCTGTCACTGACATCCCATTTAAACAAATAGCTAAGCTTAGATGACTGCACCTAGCAAATACACAGTGCTGGGTTTGGTAGAACATGCCAACGACTGGGTGATAGATCAGTGTTGCTAAAAGATTGTGAAATATTTCTATCAAATGATAATTTTGCCCTCTTATGGTCCATCTGCCAAACAATATGACTAAAAATATCAAACTCATCCATGAAGGAGGACAATTTTTAAAAGTACTTTATAAACATTTATGTGGGGGATTTACAGTTGGGAAAAAATAATCAATAAAATAACTAATAGCTCACATATTGTGAAATATTGTGGAGATTGAAATATATTTTACAGCTAGTGGGAACATGCTGGATTATTTCAGTAAAATGTGATTTTGTCCCCTAAATTTACTAAACAAATTCCAAACAAACTTGAGCTGCAGAGATCAGGGGGAGCCAGCAACTGTTTAGATAGTATAAAAAACTAATATGCTGTGTTCCGACTACTCGGCACATGAGAGAACTCTGGCTATCAGCATCACTATCTGCCTCCCCATAATTACATTCAGAAGGAGAAAACAGATACCCTTGAAACACTGGCGATATGGATTGATAAATGCAGTAGCTATGGCAACAATGGAAGGTGGGTCTGTATGGTAGAAAAAGACAAATGTAATGCTGAGCGATACAGCTCATTACAGCCCTTTTAAGATTCATCTTCAATGCCTGAGCTGTGGTTAAAGCTTTCATAGAGATGCAGCTTGCTAAAACTCCACATAGTCAGACCACGCGCAGGGAAACATAAAGTGCATTTGATATAAAGAGTGTGTGTGTGCATAGACCTCTGCAGCGTTTTAAAAGGACTTACAGGCAATGCATCCCAGCTTTCTCTTCCATCGCTCTCCTCAATGACTGATGTCGTGGCAAACTCCACTTTAGGGGAGATTCCCTGGAGGGAGAGGGACAATAAAGCAAACAAAAGACTTTTAACAGGGAGATGAAGACAAAAGGAGGGATAAAAGGCTCTGCGTGGAAGACCAATTTACATCCAGAGATCTTCAATCTATGCCCGAGTTGAGAAAAACAAATTGCAGAAAAGAGAAAGGCTCCAGTGATGTTTAAATAATATGACATTTGCCGAGAGACGTCTAAATTGCTATGAAGGCTTCAAACACAAACACATAAGAGCAGCGGAGAGGAGAATGGTGTTTAAAGACATTCAAATATGCCAGTTAGGGCCTCGAAAGATGAGGGCAAGGATAGAAAGGCGATCCGCACTTGTGGAGATGAAGGAGTAAAAGCAGGGGAAGTCAGAGACGGGGGAAGAAGAAAGGACAGAGAAAAGACACAAGACTAAAGAGGTTTTCATCTTTCTCCTCCATATTTCAGACGGTTAACAGGTGCATAAGGAGAATTCTATCCTTTCTGATGAAAGTAGTTTGTGTCCTGGCAGCTAGACACTTTTTACTCACTGTGGGGGGACGGACGGACTCTGAATTAAAGTCTGTGCACCCACACGGAGTTACCGCCATCTAATGAACATGGCTTCAACATGCTGTTGGATGTCTGAAAACTGTATGTTGACAATAACCCAATAATAATAACAATAATGTCATCACTTCACCTGTTGTTTGTGGAAGTAGAAAGCCAACAAAGATGTGGCTGACGTGCACCACGTACATTATTCATGACGCAACCTTCTGGTGAATTCTTAATGAATACATTTTCTCTAATGAGATCCAGTTGAATCCACATCTAATGGAATATTAGTTCTGTCATACCAACTGACCAATCATGTGATAAGCAAAAAGATGTGAAAAGCCATTCAAATTTAGTAGTAAGAAGCAAAAAGTTCACTAAAAAAGTGTCTATTTTTCTCATTTCTACTCGTGTGTTGACACACAGAAAGACTGATATATGCAGACCAAATGTCAGAAGGAGGATTAGGAAAAGATAAAGGCCATAAATTGAAAACAGCTCACAGGAAATGAAGAGGATCGTTTCATCAGTATCTCCCTCTCTCCCGCACCTCCATCTTCAGTACTCAATCTGGGACCAGGGTACAGAAAATCTCTGCTGCATTCCTCCATCGAGGCAAGGATTTCACCCTCTGAAAGCCACACACAGAAAACACAAACATAAACACACAATCCTGCTTTTTATGAGCGGATACAGGATGGACTTAGTATACCCATATGGAGCCATCAGAGAGCATACCTGGAGGAACCATCTGAATCAGCTCAAAATATGTTGTGTCAGCTATGAGGACAGAAAGAATAAACAGATTGTGAGCCGATGATCGCTATCTCAGCTAATAGCCTTTAAGCTCCCAAAGAATTGCATTCGGGGCTAAGAGATGAGAAAGAAAATCCCAGATGGCCATTTACCGTCGAGGAGGTCAGCAACATCAGCAGGGTCAACAACACCAGAGAAAGTCTGGTAAAACAGAAAAGAGTGAGGACAGTGAATCAATACGTATAACAAGATCAGGCTGACAGTATCCAACTCTTCGTCTCTGCCTTTTGAAAAATGTGTTCAATCAGTAGAGTTTATCAGCAGAAAGGCTGGTAACGCTGGACAATTATCGGTTACAATCTTTTAAACTAATGCAACACCACACACACACCACAGCCTTGTTATAAACAGTTAGAGCTAATTATAGAGACAGGCAGATTCAAGGATAAAACTCCAAAAGAAAAGAAATGCAATGGCTGTGTTTGTTATCAGACGAAAATAATGGTGCTGAAAGAGTTCTGAAGTCAAACCCAGAGCTTTTTGGTTTTCTTTTTAACTGTCTCAGACTCGGCACAGCTCTACATTCCCACTGGGGACAGGCCCAATAAACAGTTACACCTTTAGCACCTACTGACTATCTGGGCTGAGCCGGGCGCCGATTGGCCAGGGGTTCACATTATTCAATAGCAACAGGAGAGGGAGCCCCACCCATTTTAAAAACGCAGCAGCAGAAAATGTCTGATTTTATATTCCTGTGATCATTAACGTTGTAAATGCCGACTACACAAACAAAGTCGCACACTACTCGGGCATCATTTGTAACAGAAACCTAAACTGGGTAGAGCAGTGTAGGGCTGAAGATGTCAATCGTCTGTCCCAGACAGGCTCATTTAATTTTGCTCCAATAAAGTTTAGGATTCTCACCTTGACGAAAACCATGCTGTGTTGGAACAATAAGGGGAAGACAGGGGGCAAACACTGGGTCTTCCTGTACTGGCCCATGATGCACACACTGAGGTAGATATCATGCCTCTTGTGAAGAAGCACTCCTGGACACGTCACCTGCACAAGACCAGGTCAGGTTTGTTTATGCCTTAATTCTTCGTTAATGGACATTTTGTTTCCAGCCATCAGGATCCAAGCATTCCTGTATATTTGAAGAATCTTTTTTTTTTTTAAACGAGATTTGGACATAACTTGTGTTGAGCATTATTCCCTGCCAACCACATACCAACAAAATGACAACAAAAAGATCTTCTTGATTGCTGTTGGATTTGTTTCCACTATACCTTGATGGATGTTTTTGGATGTGAAGGTAATAATTCAACACTTTTCTGATTAATGCATAATCATATTGCTTTTCATGAATATCAATACTGACTGGCTAATATAAATTCTTCGTTAATGGACATTTTGTTTCCAGCCATCAGGATCCAAGCATTCCTGTATATTTGAAGAATCTTTTTTTTTTTTTTTTTGAACAAGTATAGATTGTGGACATAACTTGTGTTGAGCATTATTCCCTGCCAACCACATACCAACAAAATGACAACAAAAAGATCTTCCTGATTGCTGTTGGATTTGTTTCCACTATGGATGTTTTTGGGTGTGAAGGTAATAATTCAACACTTTTCTGATTGATGCATAATCATATTGCTTTTCATGAATATCAATACTGACTGGCTAATATCAATTCACTTGAATGGCAAAGAAAAAAGACATGGAAATTTTAAGCTCAAAGCTAAGGCAGAATGAAATTAATTTAATTCTTAAATATGTTAAGTTGACTTGTAATTAAAAGTACTTTTCCAGTCAAACTGAACACACAAAGTGCTTGAATCAAATTGATCAATTATGTTGCGAAAGTTCCCTATAAAGTAATGGATCATTTAGCTGATTATGAAGTTAAAAAAATAAAACGAATAATACTGTATATGCAACACAAAATCATTTTAAAGAATATCTCAATATACTTTCGCACACTGCATTTAGAAATCAAAATCTATAAAAGTTACTTTCTAAAATGCATTTTATGACTTAAACATGAATTTACCAAATAAAAATCTAGGCATCTAACTTTAACTACAGAAAGTGGTATTTCATTTAAAAATGTCACCGAGCAAATTCCTCTGGACCGGAAACACATTTTTAAACAATCAATTTACATTTTTCTGACAGACGTATCCAAAGGAACAGTTAATGCACATTGAGGTAAACTTGATGATGTGTCATATTCAGTACTTTAAACGATTTAAAAAGCGATACGGTTTAAATTGACAAGGCTTTCTGGCGACACCACACTATCAGCTCAACTGCTACAGCTAGTTAGCTAACTGCTTATTTGTGGATGTAAACTTGCTAGCTAACTTCCGTTAACAAAGCTTTAGCACCAGGTCAATTTTGGACCAAACACATGGGAAGAAGATGGACTTACTGCGTGAATATCCAGAAACACTGTGCATTTCAGAGACTTTTCACGCTTTTTGGGAGAAGAACTCTTCCTCCTCATTGTGGCCATCCATCTATTTTTCAAAGTTCGTAGTCATAGCACCCAAACAGCAACAGTCAAAGCACAGATGTAGAATCACGTGACCAGAATGAGCAAATCAAAGCTCTCCCGTTCATTTGCGCTCTCGTTTCCCTTCAGACGCAGCCCGCATCTTCACATTTAAATCAAGTTTTACATAAAACATGTAACATGCTATACATGTGCTCTTCACATGTCAAAGTACATGCAATTTGCAATGTAAAGAGATAAAACCTACTTGACTGTAGAGATTAAAAATCTAAACACCTTAAACATACAACTAAACATACATATTTGGACGTGCTGCACATCTTGTACGCCTACATATAGCTATAAAATCACAAGGCTGTTAGAGGAATCCTTAGTTACACAGTAGCCAGTACATCAGAATGATTAAGCTTCATGTCTTTAATTAACAGCAACAAAAATAATACTGTCATAAAATAAGTCAATAATAGTGCATGCTGTTTTTTTTACAACAAAAAGCTGCCAAATGAAGACTTCATATTTTTTTTAAACCAATAACATAGCATTGAATGAATTTGGTGTTGCAGGTACCAGTAAGTGTTGGAAATCAGTGCAAATATGGCTTTAAGCCAAGGCGATGTGGAGTTTACAAATGAAATAAAGAATGAAGAATGAAGGAATCTCCTGCCACAGTGCTCTGCATTTTATATATGCTCAGTATGGATCAATCCAGAGTCTGACACTCAGGTTTACTCCTTTGTTCTGTCCACTGTGTCTCTCCTGACACCATTCTCATCTCCAGCAGTATGGGACATCACCTCAGCGCTGGAGACAGAAACACAATAAGATGAATGACTGACTGAGCTGGTGGCTTTAAGATCAGAAAATACTCAACTAGAAAGAAATTCAGCAGCTAAAACAACAGGATACATAAGCATAGATTTAGTTAATTATTCCTAATAATAACCATGCGGTTTTACCTTCGAATGTGAGTTGGTCTGCTGTCCTTAATTAAGTTATTGAGTTTGTAGTAATCCAGAAAGGTGCGAGCCACATTTCTGCCCAGCTTCATGTCTGAGAATAGGAGTTAAAGATCAACGTGCTTTGAAATGGAGAAAAATATGGAGTAAAACATAAGTGGTAAAAATCAGTACTTGAATCAAATCTGTATAAATCAGTCACTTCTTTCTTGTGAATAACTAGAGAAATGCCAAAAGGTGACACGACAAAAGACACTTGTAGAGAACATAGACAAATTAACTAAATCTGAGCTAAAAAAACATATCAGTGACACACTCATGTCCATCCATTTTCTATACCCATTATTCATACTAGGCAAGCAGTGGGGCTGAATCCTATCAAAGATGTAATCAAAGATGTAATTGGGTAAGAGGAAGGATAAATCCAGGACTGGTTGCAGGTTTATGGACTTAAATATGTATATCTATCAATTAATTCAATTTATTTATCATCCATACCCCTTTTATCCTTTACAAGTTTGTGGGGAGGCTTATGCAGCATACACTGTTCAGTTAACTGACATTAATTGATATGGATATAATAGTGATGGGTCTTTCAGCCATTTGCCTCAAAAGTAGATGGGAAAATAATCAGTTATTAACTTATATTTTATGTTAATGGTAGGATTTTTAACTGGACTTCAACAACAAATGTGCTTCCCAAGACAAACTACCCACAGTGTGTGTGTGTTTGTGTGTGTGTGGAGACTGTGAATTAAGAAAGAAAGTCTAATGACTGTGTTTTGCTGAAGGTGAAACACAGCCACAAAGCTCACATGATAAAGTAAAAGAAAGAGCTTAGCAAATATTATTGATGTGTTTCAACTAAGAGGCAGATTGCATGAAACATTCAGACTAATAAATACTCAAACAAAAAAAGTAAAGGCCTCACAAACGTCGGCTTTGTCATCACCAACAAGCCCAGCAAACAGCAGTAAATAACCAAGGACATGCACCTAGAGAAATGAGTAGAGCAAATCCTCAGGTTACAACGCAGTGCTGAATTAAGTTGGGCCAAACAAATGCATTTTACTCATGTCAGCCAAATGCATGATGCTGTCATGAATCACAGAAAGCAATTACTCTTACACTGAGGCCTAATTTAAATTCAGAAATGAGTGTGAATATCAACTCCCCACCCAGCTGTCCCTCTCTACATTAGGGACCCTATCAATAACTTGAATGCTTTTATCAAACAGCAGAGCGTCTACGAGTGCTGTTGCTAAGCTGTTGATCATTAGGCTAGCAAGGCAAATGTTTATGTCAGTCAGGTTCAGATAATGAATAAATGGAGAAACACTGAATGCCAATGTTCTCAATCATTAATAGTGGGAATATACTGAATACAGATTAACTATAACAATGTCACCACAAGAAGTATATTTAATGGAGTCACTGAGGTCTGTTCACAGGAAAAACAACACATCAATCAGCTGCCAATCTTTCTTAGGACATTTCTCAATACCTATTCGGTCATCATTCTTCCCATACAGGTCATCTATAGAGAATGTGCACATGATTTTAATTTGGAACAAACAGATCCAGAGGGTTTTCCTAATCTTGTGGCATTGATGTGTCGCAGCATCCATTCCTCACCAAGCTCAAGCATGATGGAGCAACTCAGAGACGTGATCTGTCTTCCTCCCTGCCATTACCTCGTTGATACTCAGATACAAGCTGTCATCTGAACTACCCATCTGTCATAACTGTGACTGAAATAGCTAGCACGCGAAAAAAAAAAAGATTTTTACTTTCAATTTCCGTTTTCACTGAAAACAAAACCTTTTATGTTATATAAACTTTAGTCACAACAAGGAATGAAATCAATTGCCCAAAAAGTTTGGACTGGCAGTGGACTTATCCGTGGTTCAACTGGGCTGGCAGATTTTCCACCCCCCATGATCCGTCTTACATCAAACAACCTCTACTCAACACAACGATACATCTGTTAAAGTAAAATGGCAAAAGTGCAAGTATTCCATTCCGTTATAAGTCTCTCTCCTTTTCCATTTTAGAATGTTGTTTTGGTCTTGATGTTCAAATGTTAGCACAGGACATCTTCCTTTACCCTGCAGGCTGATGGCAGCTCTCTCCACACGGCTCCAAACTCTGTTTACAACCCATCTGGCTGTCTGTCTCCGAGTCCTGCATCAGGCCAGACTTGCTGTGAATGTGTGTGTCTGTCTGTGTGTGTGTCTGTGTGTGTGTTCCTGGGCTCAAGAGTCTGTCAGACACTTTGGGACCACACAACTAAACTCGCTCCCAAACTCTTAACTAATAGCGTTAATAATAGCAAAGATGGTGTAAAAATGTATTACAAAAGGAGCAGATTATTGCAATGCTTAACAGCACAGACGGTAATGCAGCTATTGCACAAGCTCATGTTTACCGTTTCATTCATGTGTGTCAGTTAATGTCTAAACCACTCAGGTATACACGGTAAAGCCACAGTTGGGCTGAATACTACAAGCTTTACCAACTATCAGAACCAAAGAACAAGAACTTAGACTTGATCATTAAAATATCGAGATACCAAAACGATGATTTTTTCCCGGTTTTAAAACTAATGTATATTTGTCAGATGTCAAGACAGTTTATTTGAATTACCTCAGTATATCTTAAATAGAGTCTGAGGGTTTTAAAAAATATATAAATTCTAATAGTTACCGTGCATAACTTTTAAATATATAGTGGAGTTTATTAAACTTGTGTAATCAATGCTGCTGGTGGTTATTTTATTATGACACTACCTCTCTACAAATATAAATGACATTATGCACCTTCAATCATTACATTTTATGCCCTTGCGCTTTTTTATCCTTAAAGTAAGAAACCATCTGTCAGAGTAATCAATCGAAGACTGAACCACTTCCTAATTTCCTCTTTCTGAGATTCACTTTTCACATCTAATAGTCTTGTTGATGGTGAACAATTCAAACCTTTTAAAGCAAATAAATGTCTCAATTTCAAAATTTTATTGCTGTCATTATATTGTTTATAACTGAGGGAAAGGTTGGAATGTTTTGGAACTTGAGGTATGTTAGACGACGGTGTCCAGAATGGTAGAAATTTGTTTTTGCTGCTGTTACATGCAGCAAAAAATATAATTCAAATACTTCCACTACAAATATATATTAATACCTTCACACTTCAGTAATTCTACTATCTTGACTAAAAAGTCAAATCTGTAAAACACTGATCTAAACATCTGAGGGTGCAAATACACAGAAACAAATGCTTACATGCTCTATGTCTTCACTCTGACCTCTAGAAAGTTTTTGGTGTTTTCCTCAGTTTTCTCTCATCAGCAGAGCTTGCTGCCAGTCCTGGGTTCTTTGGCCAGGCATGCTCGGTGACAAAAATATCTCCCAGACCCACCGTGCGCAGATGGCCTCTCAGCTTGGCTCGTCACCACTCAGTCTATTACAGGAGGTTTTGTGATGGACGGTCGGCTTCTGAAGGAGATTTTCTTCCACGGAGTATATGACGGAGAGACAGAGGATGCCCTGACTGCAGACTGGCCTGTTGCCGGGGGAAACCGTGGGGTCTGGAATGAGGCTGCAGCAGGAAGTGAGACGCACCGGAGCCAGAAACAGCCGGCGCACTGTGGCACGGATTACACTGCTGGGTGGTGTGAAAATCTTCAGAATTTCATCAGCCGGCAGTCCACATTCTGCTAATCATCGTTGAACAAATAGAAAGACTAATGCTGATAATATTGTTTGTATTATGTAATCAATTTCACCGGATCCATTACCATTATCTTTGCGTTATCATTATCAATTACTGCGGGGGTCACAGAGGCGTGTGTGTGTGCAGCGTGTCAGCGTCACTGAGGTGTATTCACGGTACACATAATAGTCTAATCTAATCAATAACAGGTCATTGTCATGGCTTAAGGGTGTGCCAGGTTAGACGCTGATGAGATTATGGGCCGTGCGAAACAAAAGGGATGGGTTGTTTACCGCAGCTGTTTGCTGTCAGCGACACATTTAGCGGCTCTCCAGAATCGTCCTACCGGACAGACAGACAGACAGACAAGGTGACAAACAGACAACAAGGCCCCGAGTGGTGAAACGAACAAGACACATGGAGAATGCCGTTTAGATTGGACAGGAGTTAACAAGGAGACAAGCAAGAGGACATTCAAACCATCAATAAGGGCCAGTGGCAGGTCCTGTCAGCCCACTGACACGTAGAGAACTAATTATCAATGCTAATCAAGGGGCCAGTCAACAACAGCAATACAGAAAGGGGCATTTTCTTGTCCCCATTAGTGAATCAACAGACAGAAAGACCTCACGTACAGTGGCCTAAAAGGACAAACGGGAGCTGATTTAAATCCCTGATAGGAGAGACTGTCACTGTCAAGGGGACAAGCACTCAAACTTGAGTAATGAAATAAATAAGAGCAGGAAGTATTTCTAATAGTGCTACATTCATAGCGTAGCATCCTCTCTGCTTTGCCATAGAAATAATCAGAAAGTTTGTTTCTAAAGATCAACAAAAAAGCATTGTAAAAGGAAAGCTTGACATACATCACAAAGGTTTTAGGATATCTATATTCTTCATTATGACTGAGATGAATTGATCTTTTATACATATGTCTTTTCATTTTTAGGTGAGGAGAATATAAATACAAAAGATTGATTAAAAACAATCAAACTTGTTTTCCTCTTCCATTCCTTTAAACCTGCTATTAAAACAGTGTGCATCTAAGTGCACCTCTGCTATCTGCTTGAACTAAGCCACGATTTGGTTTCTCCAGTCCCTCTTAGTGTCTGTACATCAACTAAAACCTCTTTTGTCACTGTCATTTCAGATTCCTTCACTACCTGCATTTCCAGCGCCACTTCGACTCGTTTCGGCACAACACTGTTTTCAGGTGTGAGCACAACATAAATCACCGTTAGAAAATATTGTCTCCTCAAGTTCCAGTGATATCCTCAAACTTTCTCCGACAAGCCAGGAACACCAGCTTCATCAGCAAATGCAAAAACCGGGACCAGACAACTGGGGCTTTGCATGTGCACATCTAGGAGAGCACTCACGTGAGGGGTACCTGCTCATTTGAGCATGCCAACAATATTCACAAAATCAACTGTGTGTATAAATCTGGAGTGCCTGTGTGTGTGCTTGCTTGTATATGTGAGCAGCTTTCCATTTGTGCATGTCTGTGTGATGCGATGTGCATGATTCGAATTGGGGAAGCATATTTGCCTCCAAGCTATATCATTTGCATACTTGTCACAGCTTGTCCGTTGGGTGTCAGGTTCATTGATGCATACTGCGTTCCTTTGGCAGCTCTGGTATACACGGAGTCCCTATTACTGCAAATATCTCAACACGCAGAAAAGCGAAAAACAATCTTTTCAGGGATGCTTGTTGTCCATAATGGCTGTCAAAAAACTCTTTAAAGTCATTTAAGAGCACAAAAACAGATTTGTGGTGTAGTAAGAAGGATAAAATTGAAGAAACAAATACAGTACCAAGACATATGCAGAAAACTACATACACACACAGCAGAAAGCACCCAGTTGTGTTTTGAACAGGATCCCAGACTCTCGCAACCTGGATCCAAATGACTCTCAAGTTCAAACGTCACATTCTGGCTAAGATGATCCATCAAATCATACTGTTGTTCATTAAAAGAAGAGCGGAACACACAAGAAATAAACTGGCTGAATGTTTTGAAATCCAGTTCTGAAGATACAGAATGTGCCACTATGAGGGCAAAACTGCATACGGGAATTTTACCTAACAAAAAAAATATTGGACCAGGAGGAGCGGGAGCATGCACACGAGGAAACACATGCACACAAACACATCGATATCAAATGATTAGAGGACAATGAGAAGTCAGACACACGAGAAAAGGCCGTCCCTGCTGCTTCATAGAGGAGCATTCTCAGCTTGACTAGATGATATAATGAGCTGTTATTTTGAGGGCGATGAGATGAGAGGAAAGACGAAGTGTAGAGGAGAGAAGAGCAAAAGTGAGGATGGAGTCAAAACAAACGCACACTCTCACCTGTTGACACAGCATCACACCTTTGCCTGAGCACCTTCAAACTGTGACAAAAGTCTTGTTTGTTGGAAAGGTTAAGATTTCAATTTTGGTTGGCTGCAAAGTCACCACAGAGAAGAACGTGAGAGTGGAAAAGATGAAAAGGTGAGGGCGGCACATTGGAACGGCAGTGTGAGTGAGGGGGCCAAGGTTATTACTCATTTTTCATGTATTATTTTGGAGGCGTGTGCTTTTCTGTGTGTGTGTGTGTGTGTTTGTGCGCACGTTTATCAGGTGAGAAAAGTGGTGGGGTGGGGCAGGTGGAGGGAGGGGGGGATGCTAAAGGTCTCTGTTGATGATTTACACGCTCCATCGGGCAGACTGCCGGGGCGTAAAAAGTGACATGGTCGGTTCCTTCAACCCGCCTGACCCCAATCTCCGCTCTACACCAGGTCCCTGCTCCGCCTGCCCACCCTCTGGAGCTCCTCCTCTCCGGAACCCTCTCTTCTCACAGATCAAAATGCATATATACCCCAAAACAAACAAACTACTGACAAAATGGGTGCCCTATATGTAATCGAACCTTCAGAAGAAATACTCACATAGGAAGGAATCCGGCTCCATTTTCGCATAGCTTTCTCCTAAAATAATGCAATGAGCTGGTACAGAATATAATAGAATTAGTTCAGTGCTATTTGTTTAGACACAAGACAACTGGTCCTATCTTTAAAGGCAACAAAAACTGAGATGCTTCTACACAGTGCATTAAAGTGACAACGTTGCGTAAAAAAATCTCCTGATTTACCAAAAATTAATGAACGTGTTTTAGTCTGGATTGCAAAAAATAAGCAGTTTTATTTTTATTTATCCTCCCTCAGAATACATGTTTATCTGTCAATACATTGAAATAAACTTTTCTAGTGATCCATATAAGCTATTACTCTTCTTCTGTTTCATGATTTGCATCTCAGGCGTGATGAGGACGGCTGTAGGCTTTTGGCACTAGAGGGCACTAGGGCTACGTCTACATCCAGCTGCCCCTCCAGCTGCAGCAAATGTGCAAGAGAGCTCATACTTTTCATATGTAGGGCTCTTATCACTCTCTAAATCTGTCTTTCCTCCCCTTCTCTTTCACTCCTCCAGTAAGATCTCCGACCACTATCGGTCATCTCTCAGGAGCTCCTCAGCCCTGTGAAGGTCAGGCCGAATGAAAACTTCCTCCCCTTTGCCTCCATTCAGGCGCCTACAACCTTCAGGTCCAGGGCTAAATTCCTGTTTCTGCACCTACAGTGTGTGTGTGTGTGTGTGTGTGCGTTCATGACTATAGTTTACAGGAATTTTGTTTGCAGTTCCGTTGTTTATGAGAACAAAAGACTCAGACCGTGCGCACACAAACACAGGACTACATATGCCAAAGCAAGCTTTTCTTTTGAAAGTGAAATCAATAGACGCAGATATCACACCCCTGTTCTGTCACTGAGCATCTGTAGCAACAAAAGGCAGCAAAAGAACAACATGCTCTTTATAACGGAGAACACGAGACCCGACAAATACGAGAGAAATAAAGAGGTCATTACAGCTGCTTTGTGCACTTTGAACACACTTTGTTCGGGTACACACACACACACACACACACACACAGACAGATCACACATGATAAAGGATACAGGTTTCCTCGGTGTACGGTACTGGCGCGGTGCTGCCGGCTGTCATATAGCTGTAGAAAGACACCTCCAGAGTGTAGCAGTAGGAAGTGTCGTCCAGCAGGCCACCGAGGAAGCGTCGTCCAGTCCCGGCCTTCACCACATCCCGGTTAAAAGATGTGTTGGACTACAGAAACACGTGGGAACAAAATGTCATGTCAGACATCGAAGGGTTCGTGGACATTGCAGCTTCCAAGATTTGGGCTGAAGCACATGTAGTCATCTTATCTTTCTTAACCATATTCAGCAACTCTATAAATTGTAAATACCACAGACACCTTCTTTATTGTACTTTTTAAAGATACTTTTAAAAATGTTTGTAATCTTCTTCTCTAATTACAGATTTTTTTGTCGTAATAGTGTAAATGCACAAACAAATAGTTTCACTGTGCGAAAAAAAAATGTTGACGTCAAAAGCAACTTTTTTGTGGGAGACAAAAATAATAAGAAACGGGACCTCCTTAGGTCATCTCTTCAAAGCAAGAGCTTTTAAGGTTTCATCAAAGATCGTAGTTCTATAAATCGTAGTTCTATTTTCTCAATAAATAGTAATAAATAGGCATCAGCCACCACCAGTATCTTACAGTATATTACAATGGTGTGTCCTCTGAGGGAGATAAACTTAATCTTCCCATTTTCTTCAGAAAATGTACAGTTTTTCCAGATCAGTGAAAGGTAAGAACTGCTATTTCCAGCACTGTAAACCACATGTTTAGATCAAGAATTCAGCATGAAAAGATGGCAAACTCATTATAAGGTGTGTGCAGACCATAAGGATGAATAGATGCAAACCCTGCTTTAAGAAAAACACACTAATTGGGGAAGTAAAAGAAAACTAATACCTCTGAGAACCATCTTAAAGTGTTTCCAGCTTTAACTTAAAAGAAAGAAAAAAAATAAACGATTCCATTTCTTCGGCAAAACATTCTGTCCACAAATCATTATAGTATCATTGGTTGAATTACCTCCCTTTCTTCAGTTTGGTCCTTAAAATTATTTTATCACACTGGATTTTACATCTCAAGTGATATATACATTTATATAGCAGCTTTTTAATCGTGCTACTCTTTATCTATTCATTGAGCGCTTCTTATCATGCGCATATGGATGTACTCTATATGCATCCAACTATATATAGTGTTTTTGTCTCTAATAACTCCCATTGCAAGTGCTGACTGTTTTGCACGAGGACACTTCACCATGTGGATTCGTAGGGGATAAAATCACCGACCTGGCTGTTTGTTAGATGACCACTTTATCAGCCACTGCCACTCCAAATGGTTGAAAATTGACTGTGTGTATGGGCAGTCAGGTTGCAAACATCTGTCATTAGCACTACTCTCTTTCTAAATATTACTACCACAGCAATACTCAGTTCAGTCCACATACCAACTCAGGAGGTGGCCCAGTACCAGTTAACCCTTTCCTGCATAGGCAAGAAAATGGCTATGTAAAAGCCATTTTCTTGCCTAAAAATAGCTTTTTATGTTTTAAATGTGTATAGGACACTGAAGTGGTCCATGGTGCATCATGCAATACAAAATAAAAATATTTCCACAATACAGCAGTGCTGAGATATACACTAAATAAATCAAGGAATTGAAAGAGTGGGAGTGAGAAAAGGAATGAGATACTAGTGACTATTAGAATAGGATAAGAGTTGCATACAAACATGTTACATGTTTATGCATTCTGTTAACAAATATCTAAAAATTTTCACATTGTAGCAAACAGTATTTCAGTAGGAAATCTTAGAACACGTGCTGCCCATTGGAGCGGACATCTGGAAAATTCCTTGATGCATAAAAGGGTTAAGATATTGTATAAATGGAAAGAATATGTTTACAGCTACATCAATTTGTAATAACAGTTCACTGAAAGCTTTCAAAAGACATATCTATCTTACTTAGTGAATCAAATGACCGTACTTTTGTTCGATAGTACAGACAGAACTCGTACACGCACTCTTGAGTGACATATCTAATAAACTAACAACGCTGATAAAATACATTCATGCCCATCGTAACTTTTCTCCTAACAGTTTTACAGAAGGTCATTTACAAAGCCTGGCTATAAATGGGTGAAGTGGAAAAAAAAAAAAAATCTATTTTAGCTTTGGGTGTGTCAGCTATACTCCACGTTATGAGGCTGCCTTGGGAAGAGAGCGGAAAAACTTTCCATTCACTGTCATTTCACACTGCAGCAGTGAGAGTTGAGTTGCTGAAATGCAGACTTGGCGGCCACCAGTGGGAGCAGGGCGTGATTGTGTTGCGCTGCTGCTGCACTGGGCTTTAGGTAGTGCTGAATGGGCAGAGGGACAAAAGCGCAGTGAGGGAGATGACCTCTGGGCCAGCTGTCACACGAGCCACGCCGAGACGGAAAGAGAATTTCTCATGAAATGGAGTTTTACTTGTCCTTCGTAACGTATAGACACTAACAGGAAGTGACATTCTCGTAGTTGTGTGGACAAACATCTGCCTCTCTGACTCTTATGTTGGCTCGGAGATGCTACAGGTAATGAAGGTGATTCTTTATTAGGAGTGTAAGAGAAAATGTCGCACTCGCCATGCCAACAAAGGCCATTAGAAATTAAACCGGGCTGAAAGGACACTGTCTGGTGGATAGTGTATCTGTATGAAAAGGTTTTTTTTTGTGTGAGGCTGATTGAAGGAGTTTACCAGCCTCTCTGCCCAAATAAGCCAAGTATCAGCCACCTCTGAGGGTCCTTTAGCACCCTTTAGCCTACTTTAACGGTCCTTCACTAGATTATGACCTTCGCTTTTTTCAAGCCCCTTTTCCGACTTACAGAGAGTTTTCAGACCCTTTCAAGTTTTTGCGTTCAGAAATCTGTTTTTATCATTGACCTACACACAATCTTTTACAATGACAAAGTGAAAACATTGTGTTGGAGTGTTTGGCTAATTTGTCGAACACTGAAGACTCATCTAAATAAGTGTTAACAGTGTTTGTTATGACATTTCAATTAAGTTCTGGTGCATCCCACTGCTATAAGTGATACTTGAGGTGCTTCTACCACTTGATTAGGGTCCACCTGCGTCTAATTGAATTGCCTGTAATCAGGGAAGGCATGTCTCCATGCATAAAGGGCCTCATAGTTGTAGGAAATTGAAAGAATAAAAAATCAAGGTTGCTTGAAATGTCTAGAACGTTTGACACAAAATTATGTGCAGATTGTTCAACGTTTCAATAAAACATATGCAGTATTATTTATCTAATCTGTCTAAGGTCATTCAATCATTACAGAATTTCTGCATGAAAAACACTTGTGGTATATTTGAAAAAAACAAAACAAGAAAAACAAAGCAGCAGTAGTTTCAGGGAAACTATGTCATGGATAGTCAGAGTTGTGTCCTGACTTGTTGAAGCCTTTACCTTAAACCATCCATCCAAATTGTACCGCTTATTCCTATATGTGGGTCCAGTCCATCGCAGGGCCACACAGAGACACACAAAAGACGAACAATCACGCACACTCACACTCACTCATAAGGGCAACTGGAATGTTACCTGAAACCAGTACAACTTGAATATTTTTTGCCACAAAGAATGTGAGGAAAGCAAAAAGCTTATATTTTGGTGTCTGTTTTTCCACTTTCTCCGCTTCATTCAGGTCTTTCAGTTTCCTTTGACTTCCCTCATCAGTTCACCTCCCTGCATCTATACTGTCTCACTGGTTTTTCATTCCATTAATTACTCTCCCCTCTATATAAACCATTTCATTACTTGTCAGGTCCTTATGTCAATTCTTGTCTAGTCTAGATTCCCCCTTGTCGGTTTTTAGGTTGTGTCCCGTCATGTTTAGTTTAATCTAGTTATCCGGCTTTGTTGTGGTTTTAATCAAAACCTGCATTTGGATCTTTCCTCAAAATCTGTTCCAGGCCTCATTGTGACAAAAATCCTATTCAAATCCATATGAATGTTACAATTTACTACAGTTACTATTTATATAAAATATCATTAATTCTCCTCATATATTCTTAAGTCAGGGTGAAAGTCTCTGCTTTTTCCCACCGATCTCCTTAAGAAACTCAACATCTTCAGCGTGTGCATTTTCACTCCGGTACACTGGGTGCATAACGTATTGCTAATTAATTCATGCATGTAATCTTTGAGTTTTCTTCTCACCTTAAACCAGTGAAGCATATGTTTTTCTTAAAATCAACACCAAGCTAATGCACACAGCTTCACTTCACAGGTGCCCAGCCCAACCTATGCTGTCGGGTTTCTGCTAGCACTAAGAGTGCAGCAGCAGGTAATTCAGTGCCTCACTGAACACCGCTTCATCAGTACATGCTCATAGAACATTAGTTTTTGCTCCCGTTCTGAACGTGAGTTTTTAACCAAAGCTGGTGAAAAATCTGGAGTTGAGCCCATGCCCCTTCTTTAACTTACAAAGGAGAAGTCTGGAGCATTTTGGCACAGCAGCCTGGGGAAGACAGCCTGTCTCTGGACGCGCTCCTCCTCTTCAAAGACGTTTCCATACATGAAGCCATTCAGCATGGTGGAGTGGGCATGAACATCGATGTAGAACTCCAAACTAACCCTCTGATGAAAGAAAACAGAAGGAGAAGAGACAAACTAAGAAGAGATAATACAAAAATATGAAATAAAAAAAAGCAGTGGGTAAGGTGTGATTGTTTTTTTGCCAGACATTCTCCAGCAGGGAGAAAATCTGGACCTGGTTTGACTCTCGGGATGACTTCAGTGTGGACTCCAAATACTGTTAAGCCTGAAAGGAGCCAATCACCCACACATAACTTCAATCAAGCTGTCCTTCAGAAGGGCAAAGCGTGAGTACATACATGGGCTGGTGAGCTGAGGGGAATATGGTATAAACACACACAGTCTCATGTGGACGTCACCGACTCATCACATACACTCAACTTATTTATCAAGTTAATATTGACTCCGTATTGAGCGTGTAATGTCTTTTCTCTGAAGTACATTCTGTGTAAAATGGATTTGATAAGATCTGTGTCTCCTGCTTGACTCTGTAAGCCTTCAGTCCACACACACACACGCTACACACACACATATATATATATATATATATATATATACACACACACACACGCACACACACAAACTTCTTGGAATTCAGAAGAATGGCTTGTAGTCCAACTTCTGGTTATGAGATTTTATAAAACCCAACAACATGATACTTGGCTCAGATGTCTAATACATAATTTATACCTATTTAGCTCTTATCCATATTTTTATAGGTCAAATATGGAATGTGGAAGAAGTTTTAAAGTACATTTTGAGGTTTTTAACATGTAAGGTAATACAAATCCTGCTTGCACTAATGGAATGAAGCTGAAATGTTTTAAATCTGTCAGAGCCTCTATAAAATTCTGATGTCTGATGTCTCTACCCTGCTTGAAGGATCAGAATAAAGAAAAAAAGCATCTATCTATGTGCCTGAGAACGTATATTTTATTGATTGAAGTCACTATCACCTAGAATAAAAACACTACCCTAGAGCAACTGTAAAGTCCAATGTTTTATAAAGTGTATAAAGCCAATGAGTGATGGAGGAATGATATGCTTGGTCAATACTTTTGGGGGGTGTCTTTAAAACTCTTCTGAGAATTGAAAAAGTAAGCCATCCACTGTCTCACTGCAGAAGAAGGAATGTGAGAAAAGCAAATGCAGCTGCACAGCAAATACTTTTCCTTTAGTTTGGTGTGTTCTTATTTGTTGTACACAATTGCAAACCGCACAGTCCAGGATGTACCCCACCTCCCCCCCACTAAATACTGGGATAGGCTCCAGTAGCCCCGCGACCTTATTTGGGAATAAACGGTTCATAAAATCGATGGATTGGTGGAATAACAAACCGCAACTTTGTGTTATTGTGATGGAAGCCCATAATAAGCATTTCAATTAGATTTCAGTAAATTATGAAAGATTGTGAAAATATGTGACATTTAACTGATTTAAATGATCATCAAAAAGCTATTAGCTGGTCTTATACAACAGTCATCAACGTGAATCAGTAAGGAAGCAAGAGTTGGCAAAAATAACCTCACTTCAATAGTCTCGAACTGATTCCGATAAGGGCAGGCACACAAACCCTTGTACAACACCCACACACCTTCTGACCCTTAACTATAGAGCAACACCCACCAGCACCCCTCCTCTTTGCCTGCACTCTCTATCTTATCACTTTGCCCTCGTCCTCCTGGTTTTATCCTTCAGCTCTTCTTCCCCCTCTTTATCTACTTCCCCTCTCTGCTCATTAAAGATTCAGCACAACACCTTGTTCCCTGTGGGTCATAAAGAAGAGGAAGGAAGGGAAGAGCAGGGGAATAAACGGAAGAAAAAAAATGGACACGCGTATAAATGAAACAAAATAAAAAATTTGGTTGGAAATAGGCGTGCGTGTCAACATCCAGGGGAGGCAGGAAAGAGCAAACGGGGAAAAACAAAAACAAAGGTGGGCGACGAGGAGGAAGAAAGGGAGGGAATAAGTACATAAAGACAAACGGCGAGGAGAAAATGAGAGAAAGACAGAGAGAAACATAGAGATGTGTGCGGAGAGATTGGCAGGAGAGAGACGGAGGGGAGGGAAGCGGAGCCTGGGCGGGCCTGGGCGACGCAGTGTGGCTGTGTTTGAAATTCAGCTCACAGCCAAAGCAATTTCCTGGCGGTGGCTGTGCTGTCAGCTGCTTGGCTGGCTGGCGGTGAAATATGGTGGCTGAGAGTCGGCCGCTAGCAGCCCCCGACAACCCTGATGGATGGAGCCCCAGAGGAGAGAAACAGCAGCAGGAGCATGCATGTGGGGCTGGGTTCGGAGAGAGGTGGCGGATAGAGGAAAAACAAAAGAAGAAAAAGAACAAGAGAGAAAAAAAAAAAAGAAGCTAAATGCAGCCAAGTGGACAGTGGTGGTGATGTGAGGTAGACAGAGTGCGAAATTTACAGCCAGACAAAAAGGGAGAGTTAAATAAAGGATGAAAATAAAGAGAGGAGGGGCACGGGGGAAAAAAAAAAAGGAGGGAAGGAGATGAGGAATTGTAGAAAAAGACACAGGTAGTGTGATCCAAGTCTAATAGAGAGAGGGAGGAGGGTGGAGGGAGTTGAACCAACAAGCCAGGATTTGGATGAGGGAAACTAGCATAATAATCACCTGGGTCCCCCCCCCATTGGAGGTGAGATGGCGGGAGGAAGGGAAGTTAAAAGAGGAAGTAGGAAGCAGACTGAATAGGAGTAGTTAAAGTGGCAAATAGGGATTAGTCAATAATGTCTTAGACGAATGACACCTCCTCAATTTCTAATTGACAATTTTCTATCTCTGGTTAAGACCTAAACATAAAGCTGAACAACAACCTTGATATTTGAACTGCTGAACTTGAGTTGAGCGTTCTTCAGTGATTGTCTCGCTCAGAAAAAAAAACACATTATAGGAATATCAATCTTCAACCAGCAATGCGCACATAAATAATACACAATAAATGCAATAAACAACAAAAAATGAGGGAACATTATTAAACCCTTCCCCAGCTCCCACCCACCTCCAAGCCCAAAGCATTAAGAGACTATCTCCTCAACAGAAGACTTCAGGAAATACCATCATAAATAGGTCTAATCAATCTTATAGATCTGAAATGAGAAAAGGCCAGAGGCAAGTTCAAAGCAACATTTTTGAAAAATGGATTAGATTTGTGCAGTACAAGAAAAAAAGATATCAACTAAATTAAGATGAATTCAAATATGTATGAATAAAAGAACTCTAACTGGATATCCATCCATTTTCTATACTACTTATTCCCGGCGGGGGGGGGGCTGCCAACAGTTGACAACGGGGGAGAGGCGGGGTACACCCTGGACAGGTCGCCTGTCCATCACAGGGCCACACAGAGACAAACAACCACACACTCACACACTCACCCTGAGGGGCAATTTAGAGTGTCCAATTAACCTAACATGCAGGTTTTTGGACGGTGGGTGAAAGCCGGAGTACCCGGAGAGAACCCACAGACACAGGAGAACATGCAGACTCCACCCAGAAAGGTCAGATAATAATAGATAAAACAGAAAAATATACACAAGAACAAATACAATGCAAAAAAAAAAACTGAATAACAAAAATAGACCTGAAATTTGCTCTATGATAATATCAATGCAGTCTGATGCCAGTGGGTTTTGGCCCACGGATTTAGATGATATCAATCATAAAGCACTGTCGGTTTTAGTCCTAGAATTAAAGGGATATTTCCAGGAGAGGGAAGATTTCCTCTTCATCAGAAAAGCAAATATGACACATCAAGTTTTTTCAAATATCCAGAACAAATTAGACTAATGACCTGAGAACTAATATCTGGAGCTCGGCCAATATATTTATTGTTTATATTGTTTAAAGACATTAGGCCAGACATCTGAATATTTTTATTAGGAAAAACAATCATTTATGGGATTTATTTTTATTAGGATTTTTTCTTTCTTTGCTGAAATTTGGTAATCAATGCATTTGTAAATGAAAAAGTCATTGATTAAAAATAGTACCCAAAACATATTGATTGGACATTAAATTGTTTTCAGCTTTAATACTAAAGTAATTTGCGGAAGGATAAATAAAGATCTCAGAAACACAAAAGTCAAATAAGCAGCAGAGCTACCTGACTAAACCACAAAAAAAGCCAAAATGGAAGATTCAACACCTCAGTAAACACAAGTGACACTGATTATAACCCGAAAGGCCTCCGCATGGAGCTGTGAAGGTCTCCCTGAAGGACAGAAGATGATCGGCAGTTCCAGCCACGGAACGCCAACAATGTCATGTCCATGCTTACCACATTGCTCAGTTAATGCCTTGTCAATCAAAGCGAGACATCTATGAAGGCCCCACCACTGTGATTGATGCTTCAATTAAGAGCCCGCTCTGCCCTCCAGAATTGTTCATTTCAAATTGTAATTAAGCAATTAGGGGCAATTAAGACACAGACACTGCTGAATGAAAGTCAGGAGACAATTTAGGAGATTGAGAGAGAGAAACAGAGAGGGTGCAAGTGTTCAAATGAAACCTCTCGGAGAGAAACAAAAGCCCCGTCTTGCTGCAGAAACTCCTGCGAACTCTCGACTCGCCATGAACCTGCAGCGACGGCAAACACTTTAGTGTAAAACCTAGAAGGTCAAACGAATGAAATTCTGTCAGACGAGAGCTTATCTGCTGCATATTAATTAGAGCAGGGTGTGTGGAAGTGCAGTGGGTGCCATAAATGGTGGGCTTATCTTTACATGTAGAGGAAAATGAGCTGATTGAAGGAGGATTACAAGCTCCCGAATGCAGTTTTTGGCATCAGCAGCATTACTTTCGAGGAAATAGTGGGGTTGAGGCTTAGCAGGAAAAAAGGAGGCCTGTAGTGCCTAAGCAGTGCTTAGTAAACCATATAGGACTGTTGGAAGAGGGCAAAACACAGCAGTCTCTAAAGTTGGTAGATAGTTGATAATTTCTCCAGCCTTCCTTTGTATTTACAGGTGGTTCACAAGTCGTGTTGTTTGCTTTTGAATGTATTTTTTACTGTGAGAATAGTGCCATGTCTGAT